CCCTCCCACCACGACCATTTGTTGAAGGGAATCACCACTGTCAGACTTCAATCCAACAGGACCCACTGGAGCCATCCACACTTTCCCCAGCCTCTTCCAAAACAGCACACTTTCTGGTATGCACAATTCTTTTCTTTTTTTTTCTCACTTGTTTGTTTGTTGTGGTGGTTGCAACAGCAGCAACACAGACGACACGTATTTCTCTATTCTTCCCGCCCTTCTCACCCTCCCTACCCAGCTCCTGCTTTAGAAACAGGCTTGTCCTACCCTGTATTTGTCCACACTGTCTGGATTCTTAACTGAATTAATCGTTTTCAATAGGAGGGGGCTAAAACCCTTATTAATGTCCTACCAGGAGTGAACGAATAAAACCAAGTTAAAAGAGAACTGGGTACCAGGTACTGTGCTAGGTTTCTTTGCATGTATCCTTTCATTCTGTTGGAGCTAAAGATTTTCTGCCTCCTCTCCATAAAACTCACCAAAACTCCAAAACCAGGAAATTCTCCATAGAAAATAGGAGTGAAGAGAGAAAAGACTAACAGGATAAAACCCAAAGCAGGAAGAAAGTTCTATCTCCCATTTCTCTCAAAGAATTTTTGGATCCACCAAGGCTACCATCCTGAAATATCTTGCTGCTTCTCCTTCCCCAAATATTGTCCACTTCCTGAGAGTAAGGCTGACTCGCCACAGGGTTATAAAGTGTTTGGTCACAGAAAGACAACTGTGAGTAATAACACACATTGTATACTGTTTTGTAATTGATAAAAGGCTTTGCATCTGTTTTTTCTTTGCAGGTTGAAGAAAAGAAGAATGGTATTCATGCAGTTCCCATTTTACAGATGAAAACAGGAGGACTTTTTCTGTGAAGTCAAGAAAGTGGTTACAATGGTACTTTCAGCCTGTCCTAATTATATATCGCCCCTCCCCTTTTTATTAATAACATTGAAATGTGATGGGGAAAACACTGAAGCTGTCAGTTGAAACCGCCTGGGACATTTTAGCCATTCTCTTCAACATAAAGAATGGGTGTTTTTGGAGGGGGTGAGAGGAATGGAGAAATGTTGTCAAAGAGTACAATGTTTTAGTTGAGACAGGAGAATATATTTTGTTGAGATCTACAGCACAGCATGGTTACTGTAGTTAACAGTGAAGCATTGTATATTTCAAAATTGCTAAGACAGTAAATTTCAAATGTTGTCACCAGAAAAAAGATAGGTTTTGAGGTGAATATATTAATTCTCTGGATTTAATTATTCTACAATGTATACGTATATCATAACATCATATTATACCCCCATAAATACATACAATTTTAATTTGCCAATTAACTTTTTTTTAATAGAATGGTATGGCAAGTCGGGGGAGGTTGTTTTTGTTTTTGTTTTTCCTCTAGTCTCTACTCAGTCTCTAACATCCCATTCCCCATAAAGTTCCTGTCACCCAGCTGGAGTGTAGTGGCACAATCATGGCTCACTGCACCTTCTCCCTATTGGGCTCAAGCGATCTTCCCGCCTACAGGTACATCCCACCACGCCCAGCTAATTTTTGTAGTTTTTGTAGACCTGGGGTTTCACCATGCTGCCTAGGCTGGTCTCAAACTCCTCAGCTCAAGCAATCTACTTGCTTTGGCCTCCCACAGTGCTGGGATTACAGGTGTGAGCCACCAAGCCCAACCCATAAAGTTCATAAATTTTTATCTCCCTGGGAGTGCACAGCCTACACACACCAGTTTCTCTTTAGAACATACTTGAGAGTCTTGGTTTAGCACCCAACAGACAGAACCTGAATACTTCTAGGGATCTGTGCACATCTCTATGGTGTGGGGTTTTTAGGATCTCTTTCTAATGACATTTTATTTTGCAAAGCAGGACAGTTTCATTCCCAGAAGAGCAGGTATGGTAAGTCCTTTGTTCCAGCAATGAAGACAATGATCCAACCCCTAAGCCTCAGAGATGCCCAGAAACCCTCCAGACCTCCCTCTCTCTCCTCCTAGCACCTGCCTCTCTGTTGACATCAACAGCATTCTCTGCTCTCACAGCCCAGCTCCTTCCACCGACCCAGGGACTAGGCATCAGCATCTCAGACTAGATTTTAGAGAATTACCATTCAAGAGGCAATCCTCTTCCCTTGGTTCCAATTTCAAGGTTCTCCAAGACTGGAACAGGGTTAGTTTGAGGCAATATGCCCCACCGCATAGCCAGAAAGAACCTCACAGTGAAAAGGAAAACAATTCTTCCCAAGTAAGGGGGTGCTGATCCCGAGGGAGGAGAGATGGGCAACCAAACAGTAACTGGGCCACCATGTACTTCACACTCACTGATCAAGGCTTTCTAAAACTATTTTTCTTTTCTCTGAATTTATATAGCACTTGTATCACTCATAAAGGAATGTTTTATAGGCTGATAACACCTTTCTATTCGTGCTTATACCTAATGTTTAAGTTAGGATAATTTCCTAACCTCAGAGTCCTCACTATAAAATGGGAATTATTATAATCCCTACCTCATACATTGTTGGGAGGATTAAAATACTTAGTAAAGTGCCTAATAGAAAGGCATTCAATAAATGTTAGCTATTCATGGTGTCATCATCATTATATTTACCATTATTACTAATCTCTTGTATTGCAAGAATTACAGTTTATATTTTTGTAGACCATCACTGTAGCTAAAGGGTCTTTGGGCATAGGTGATATTCCATAAAGGTTGGTTAAACTGATCTGTGGTTTTTGACTATGGAAACTCAAAATTCCCTCGAAATGTACAAAAGAGGTTTACCTGCTAAATAAATCTCTTCAAAACTGACCCTAGGTTTAATTGAATTAATTCCAATGAATTCGTCACAATGATGGAGAAAGGAAACTGAGAGGGCCCCACAGTTGTTTGCTGGTAAAATGAGAAGTTTGGATTAGATCAATGTTTCCCAAAGTATTTTCCTCAGAATATTAGTGCCCCTCAAATCCTGCACAAAGCGAGAGTTTCATGACCAAGTAGCTTTTAAAATTCCTGTATACTCTACTCCCACTCTTCACAATGCACACTTTCGTATTAAGAGTTCTGAGAGGTTCTCAGTAGAAGACATCTTTTTTTTTTTTTTTTTTTTTTAGACAGAATCTCACTCTGTCACCCAGGCTGGAGTAAGTGGCCACTCCTGGCCTAAACATTTTTTAACCTGGTGCTTCCCAACCTAAACTCACAGGGACCAGTTTTCTTAGTGAAAGAGAATCACACTGGCTTGTAACCACAGCTGGTGACACTCCCCTGCCCCACTCCTTGTATGTCCTCAGTGGACTAGGTCAGGAACAAATAAATTTTCCTGATTCTCAAGGGCTGGTCATTCCTTTGCACTGAGCTCAGAGCTTCTCTGTAGCATTGGGTCACAATGAATGGTAGCCCTGATGGCCTAGGGTAGCCTTTCAGCCTTCTCTGAGTCTCTAGAGACTGAGGATCCTTGGCATGAAAAAGGAGCAATTGATATATCCTTGCTTCCCCTGGGGACTCTCTTGCTCTCAAAAAGGCATCAGCCATCATCTCCATCTAGAGAATATACTAGCTGACTCAGCTTGACCAGCCCGTCCCAAAATGAGAATCTAGGTAAAGTAAGTGTTGAAACACTTCATTCCTTGTCTTGTAGATTCACAAAACACATTATCATATTAAAGACTGTGGAGTTCTGCAGGAAAAAAAAAAAAAAAAAAAAAACCTATTTGACTTCAATCCAACATTGTCAAGTTTTATTTGACCATGGAGGATTTTTCCAAAACACTTACAAACAGATCAAGGACATTAATCTTTCATGAAACACTTTAGATACCCAGAGTCCTCTCCAGTTACATCATTCTGTGATTTTCTTTTTTATTTATGATGCATTAAAAGATTAATCTCTGTCAGACTTCCATTTAGAAATTCACCAGAATGTGCAAAGGCAGCAGGTAAAATTGCCAAAGGGCATTATAAAAATATTCTTCAGTGATTGAGACTTAAACTGAAATATTTATATAACTATATATTTCAGTTTGTATATGTATGTATATGTGTGTATATAGATTTTTGTATGTATATCTATATCTATGTATATATGGCATTATATCCATTTTACAGATGCAGAAACTGAGCTTTAGACGGGGAGAGCAATTGGTCCAAAGCCACACAGCACACAGGTAGTCACTGATAAAGGTGAGAAACAAAGAGTTGAAACCTGAGGTGTAAGGACACAGAGACAAGTACACAAATGTTTACAAGTTACACATATGACACGTGCCTTTAACATGAAATTCTTGAACATTCATTTAGAGACCTTACAATGAAGACATCAGAGTGGCAGCAAGTTCTGTTGGAATCAGGGGAGCGTGTTCTTCCATACTCCCCTGGCTGACAGGAAAGCACATCGATTTGGCCCATGGTAGTTATACACTCCCATTGAGTCAGGGGCCACTTCTAGGCACACAGAAGGTACTAAAAATATGCTGTTGACTCATAGCCTCTAAAAGCAGAAGAAATGCCAAAAGTATAAGACAAGAGGCAGAAAATCACACGGAAAAATGTCACAGGGCAGTCCTCTAAAGAAGTGCTAGATCACTTTGAAATCTGTCCAAACACTTTCTGGTGCTGCGGAAAGTCAATTATATATTTCAAGCAACCCCACATGTCATACGAGTATCTTGTAAATGTTTGTGTACTTGTGTCTGTGAACTTACATCTCAGACTTCAACTTCTTGCTTCCCACCCTTATCAATGACTGCCTGCATGGCCTTGCACGAGCTGCTTTCCCTCTTCAAAGCTCAGTTTCTGCATCTATAAAATGGACATAATGCTACCTAACTCATGGGGCTTGTGATCACATTTAAAGAGCTAATATGTGGAAACTGTTTGCACAGTACCTGGCACATAATAAGCGTTTAATAAGTGTTTGATGTAATTGTTATGATTATTACTACTATTACTAAAATAATAATTACTACAATAATAATGATTCTTATTCTCTACATTAGTATTATCTTTGAAAATGGGCATGGATTATGTCTATGTAACCCTTTTGGCACAATATCTAGCATTATATCACATACAAATTAGAGAATTCATGTTATTAAGGATGAAAAAATATTTTTACTGACCCTTAAATGCTTTGTAAGTAACTGCAAAAGAAGCCATTATCCCAATACATGAAACAAACAAAAAAAAAATCCAGTTCCTCTGGAGTTTGTTTTTGGAGGTAGGCACAGGATACCTAAATTTTTTTTCTTTTCAGAGAGACCAAGGGGCTCACTATGTTGACCAGGCTGGTCTCGAACTCCTGGCCTCAAGCCATCCTCCCACCTCAGCCTCCTAAAGTGTTGGAATTACTGGCATGAGCCACCACATCCAGCCTACCTAAAATATTGAATGCTGTTAATAAATCTCCTGAGGCCAGCATAAGAAGTTGATGGGCAAAACTAATGCAGGTATGTTTTCCTGGCTTATTTATGTATTGGGCCCATCTTTGAAAAGCACTTCCTGTTAATGGCTAACTTGCAAAATTTGTGATTTATTAAAAGCAGATTTTAATTGTTTTACCTAAAAATAATAGCCCTCTGGTCTGCCAAAGATGAAGATTTGATTTCTTGGTGTTCTCTACAATACCTAGAAACATCAGTGTAATCGATTATTAAAAACTTTGGAAATATTCTCATCAAAGTTCTTTATTTTATAATACAGCAAAAGAAAAGTTTATTTTCTAAAGGCATCTCTATACTTTTTTAATAGTTGAATTTCATTTCTGAAGCCTCCTAAAAAGGGTATAATTTAGATCTTTATTAAAGAGGAAATATATTTTCCATGTTTAATTTAAATTATATTCCATCAGTCATTTGCAATCTTAGCCTACACAGAATTTTTTTTTTTTTGGTAGTTTTTATGTTTGGGCTTTAGGAGGGGATTCCCAATAATCTCTATATAAATATTTTAACATTCCAATGTAAATTAGTTTTTTAAAGCTATTTTATCCATAAAAATAATGAATTTGCATGGCTGAGAGTGAAATAATGTGTTATCAGGACCCCTCAGTTTTGGGAGTTGTGAGTAGATCCTATCTTTATGTTCCTCCAGCCCAGCCCAAGCCTGGCTCGGGTCCTCCTCCCCTATTTATCAGGAACCACCATCCCCAGGGATTCTATGTGGCCTGCCTGACCAGTGTTCTCCATCAGATTTTACCAATCTTTTCTTCATTCCCTCAGAGCACAGCTGAGCTACAGTACACTAATTTGAAAAATTAACTCAAGCAAATAGAGGAACAATATTCCCAACACACTGAATTTTAACATAGGGTTTCCTGGACACACTGTTTCAACCCGAGTTGTGCCAATGGTAGGAGCTCCATCTGCTAAAATATGGCTATCAGCTTCAGAGGGAAATTCATGAACCTCTTCATAGTTTGTTTTTATGTTTCACTTTGCACTGTTTCTAAAATTTCCTCTGAAGCCAAAACATAAGTTATTTCCCAGCACATTGGTCACTTTTCATTTATCATTGGATTGATTTTTCTGACTTACAGTAGGAGCTGATATTGACCAGGAGGTTCTTATCCAACAGACAGCAGCAAAACTCTGTGTATCCGCCTTCCTCTCAACAAATGTGACTTCCTCAATGGCATCATTCATGAGAGTAACACAGAGCTCAGCAATAACATTTCTTCACTAACCCTACCAGGTATCCAACATAGGATGTTACTTCCTTTCACCGTTTTCCGACTCCTGGCAGATATTAATCATTGGGATTTGGGAACAAGGAAATAGAATTTCTGCGAATGCTTGGGAATTCCCAAATTCATATGATTTTCATAACACTTCAAGTTTATGAAAAATAATATGTGACTATAATAACAAGCCAATAACTGTTTTTTCTGTAACAGGATTATATGAAAAGTTTTAGTAGTCTTCTGTTTTAAAAAGATATAACAAATGATGATTATTATTATGAGCCAATATATTATGACAAGATTATAAAATCCAACAACATTAAGATAATAGAGAAAACATTAAAAAGAAATGAATATTATCACCAAATAAATACTAAAGAAAAGTCATTTAAAGATTGAAAGGTAACATCACAAATACTTAATGCTTTAATCATTGTTTACATGACATTGTTATACTAATAAGGCATCAATTATCCCCTCCAATACTATTTAAATAAGATAATATTCTGATCTCCTGGCAAGACGAACAGCACCAGAATGAAGCAACTGTCAAAATTGCCGATTTAAGGGCATATTTTGTTTCTAAAACTTGGCATTTCTTAGAACACCTCTCATAGGATTTGTAAAACATATACTATGCCTATGAACACATGAAAGTTTATTTGCAGAAATGGTTCACTGGTAGCAGTGGACAAGGCCATGAACACACACTTATAACACAGCAACAGATACAAGAAAGTCTGACTGAGGCTCCTTTACTGCTGCTGTCCAGTTCAGCTTAACTTTCATCTCCACATGTCAGGGTTTCCTCATCTTGAAGTTAGTGCATTTCTTCAAGCCAGTAAGCTCTCTATACTGACTATTAAGCTGTAATTCTCACAGGAAAATTAGAATGTTTCTCACCATTTTCCTAATTTCTCAACTGATTTTTCTCAGAATTCAGAATTCAGGAATCCATAAATATTGAAATGCCAGGAGAGAATTTCCAAATGGAAATGCTATTCCTTTAGTCTGTTTTCAGAAGAAATCGTAGCATAGTGTTATCCTTCTCTTCTCCAATTTTTTGTTCTGCAAACTTATGGTTATCACCTCTCTAAGTGCATAGCTCACAATTTTCCCTCCTCTGCAAATGGTCCCAATACAGTGAAGTGGGCCCTCAGTAGCTGTGTCTTTACTATGTAATCCTGCATTTCTGACCATATACAGGGAGGGTGACCTAGGGAAGGATGCCTGACTCAATGCAATTTCTCTTGCTGTCTCTAGAATTTGAACACTGGAACCCAGACATACAGAGGCTGGGAGCCATTGTGGTATGCCATATTGATGACGGCAGCAGTGGGTGGTGCAGGGGCAGTTAATTGACAGCTACCTGTTGCTAATATCCCAGGAACTGCCTGAACCTCCTCTTTCCCAGCCACAAGATACCTAAGATTCTGCAGCATTCTTCATTAAATCCTACCATGGTTTAAGCTAGCCAGAATTAGGTTCTGTTGCTTTCAATCAACAGAACCTTAACTAATACATTATTTCCTAGTTCCTGTTCCTTTAATTTTCCAGGAAAAGAAGGGAAAATGGCTTACTGGTTTAAAAAAGGGACAAGTGACAACATCCCATTTACGCAAAATTTAGAAGCACTCAAAGGAATCTCTGGAAAGTTCCTGAGACACACATAGGTAGGACCAGCA